GTTTTTGGTTCCTCCCCCCTGCCCCCCCCCCCCCCCGTCGTCGCTACCGCCACCGCCGGCCTTGGACTGGCCCTTGCCGGCGGTCTTCTTGCCGGCGTCCCCGTCGCTCCGGTTCCCGCCGCCGTTCTCCGCCGTCCCACGCTTTCCGTCCCTCTCAACCCCCCCGGGCTTGTCGCCGCCGCCGCCGCCGCCGGCAACACCGTTCGCGGTACTGGCCGATCGTTCCGAACCAACATTCGAAGAAGAGGAGGACGCCGGTGAAGCGGGCACGGAGCCAGACCCCGGCGGCGATACAGCCACCCCCGAGGCCGGCTGCTTAGCCTCGACGCTCCCCCTGGACTCCGGCGCTTTCAACCCGTCCCCTGTCCCGCCCCCGCCTCCGTTGATGGACGATACCGGTACGTCGCTGTCACCGTCGGAACTCTCATCAGCACCACCACCCTCGTCTGAGATTGTGAGGTTCGTTGTTAAGACGGCGGCTTCCTTGGGTGCGTCATCGTCGCTATTGTGGTCAGCTTCCTCTCCCTCCTCCTCCTCCTCCTCTTGTTCCTCTTCTTCTGCGTTAGCGTCTTGCCCTTTCGTGTCCGACGCTTGCCCGTTGGGCGAAGACGGCCTGGCGTTTGGGAGTCAGGGAGGGGGCGGGAGAGGAGTTCAGAACTTGTGTGACAGAAGCCGGCAAGGTATGATGGCAGTATCCCCGCTTCACACTGATTTGGCCATCAGAAATCGGTCCTGTGGGAACAACGCTCCGTCCTCTCGAGGACGCGTGGTCGATGGTCTTAACAACTAAGGCACGCAAGACATGAGTGCGCCCCCCCCCCCGCCCCCGCCCCCTGACTCCTGCCCAACTCACCCCTTGGTCCCCTCGAGACTCTGCAGCTGCGCTCTGAGGGCCTTCATCCGGCGGAAGTGGTCCTGTCTTACCCTCTCGTGGTCCGCAGCGGCGCGCACTAGGCACACGGCCTCTCCCACCTTGGACAAAAAGAAAAACACCAAGGGCAGAGACCACCACCGGCGGCGCAAATTGTGTCAAGACTAATTCTATAGCACAGCAGTGGTCGATCCAAGGACACCCCCAGCAGAATGATAATCAAGGGGGGGCATAATTTTGAAGGCCACTTAACCCCGGCTTGAGAACACATTTTTCGGAAGAAACGCCATGCGTGTCCCTAAAAGAGGGCACGATTGTAGTGCCACAGCAAGGACCAGTGCATCTTACAGGGACCGTACCGGGGAATACGAGGCACTACTAACAGTAGAGCTTTCGAGCGGATTGATTGCTATTGCTCGATGGGCGAAGCCTGCTTGGCCGGGTTTTCGTATAAGCACGTCCAAAACGATCGCTCGAGCAGGCTAGGCGGAAAGACAACGTGCACAGCGGCATCCCTTCACCGCTGTGCTTTCAGGGAAACCCAGGAGCCTCGTGACCAACGTTGGGTGACTGCAAGCCGCATACCAAACACGGGCAAGAAGAGAAGAAGCGAGCAACCAAGCCCCTCCGATATCCCGCAAAACATCTCGCGTAAACCACACCAACACACTGGTACACTCCCAGGAAGCAGAAAAGATCACAGATCAAAGGAGCTGTCACTCTTCAGATTCACATTACCTTCTCTCGTCGTCTGATCTCCATCTCCGCCTGGCGCTTGGAGGTCTCCTCCACCTGCTCCCCGAGCCTGTCGATCGCCATCGAGGCCCTAGTGTTGAACAGCGCCGACTCCCGCTCGTCCTGTCCCATGCCGGTAACCGACTCCTTCGGCAAACCTCTGGGGAACCACTGCACCCTGTCGTTGACCCCGCCCGCCGCAGGCATCGGCGTTGCTGCGCCGCCCGTGTGCCCAGCCATGACGCGACCAGAGCTGCCGCTCCCAACAACCCACGGTACATACTCTATCGCCTGCGCCTCATCTTCTGCCGTCGCCCCGCTGCCGCTGATATCGGCGTGTTCCCCTGGTCGCAGCATGTACCGGGGCGCCCGCATGCTGGGCAGGAGGTCCAGCCCCTTCGGCACGAGCGGTTCACGTTGCTGCTGCTGCTGCTGTTGTCGATCTCCTCCTCGCGATGAAGCTGTCCGTGGAGTGGGGCCGCTCGCATCATCCGTGTCTGTAGAAGTTCCCCCGGGGGGGGCTGCTTGAAGACAGCGGACGGGCGCCAAAGGGCGTTTGTTGTCAACGGTATCATACTCTACTACCAGAAGGGTTACGTACCAGACTTACGCCTGGGGAGACTGCTTGAGGGCAGCGCAACAGAGGGTGGTTGTTGTGAACAGTAGGCTACTGCAGAAGGTGCACGTACCCTACCCAGCACTAGCGAGGCCATCAAGACGGAGAGTACACCCTATCAAGCCCTAGCGATCACAGGAAGCAGAGTACAAGCACCAGGGAGCTTGATGTTTGCCACCATTGCAAGGGCGACACACTGCCGCGCTCTCCAGAGGTAACCCACAACACTCACCGTTGGTCACGCCGCCTTCAATCACGCCGGGTCGCCACCGCCCACCGTTAACATGGGCCGACCGCAGCAGCTCCTCCCACCGCCGCAGCGATCCTTCATCCCCTGGGTGGGGCGACGCGTCATTCCTCTCTCCCTCGTGCTCAGCGCCGCCGTCTTTAGCGCCAGCCTTGGCATCGCCGCCCGACTGCTGTTTGGCGACGAGAGTCGTGTGCTCCTGCCTGGCGAACATGGCGTCGCGGCTGCATCCGGCAAGCACGTTCAGGACCTGGGTTCGAAAACAAGCGGTAGTCGAGCCAATCAGTGCACACCGACTTCTCGCCGGTTGCATAAAAACAACCTTCAAGTTCAAGAACATTTCGTGCTGGAGTTGCGAGAGTGTGAGCTAAACTGCTGCTTATGGGGAGGGTACTGCTGTGGTGACGCAGAGGATGAAGTCGGGCAGATAGACTAAAGGGATAGGATAGACCCCTCGGTAGGCTAGGCAGGGCGCCTGAGACAAACCTCGGCGCGCCCCATTCCCCCTTCTTTTGGTGCCATGAACCTCACATGTGATCAACTACTGTCGGGGTGAAAAAATCTCTCCTGCAACACATGAACGAAATATTATACGAAGTACTATCTGATCCCATCTCGCTTCGGCTGTGTCTGCATCCGAAATACCATTATCTGCTGAACCAAAAAAAGCGGGAACCAAAAAACATTCCACTCTCTCTGCCCCGGCCCCGAAAAAAGCCTGGGCGTACCTTGGTCATGTCGAACTTCCCTTCCAGTCCCGCCCTCTTCATCACCTCCACCTCAAGACCTCTCACTCGCTCCTCCTCCTCCTCCTCTTCCCCCCCCGTCCTGAAACGACCGTTGTCGACAGCCTTGCCCGTGCTGTCTCCACTGCCGCCGCCACCGGCCGTGCTGCTGTTGCTGCTGCCGCCTCCGCCGCCACCTGCCCCACCGGTGGCGGCAACATTTTCGTCCCCAGACGAGTCTGAATCGCCGCCGGACACGGGCGACTCGTTAGAAGTGGTGGCGCTGGATGCAGCAGCGGCGGCAGCGGCGGCCGGAGACCAGGTAGCAGTGGGTCGGCGGCCCGCCGTGAGATGCGCGCGGAGCACGAGGTACCATCGTTCCCATGCGTCGCGCTCCGCTTCCAGCTATGGTACCAAAAAAAGCGAACCCAATGTGACGGACACAGACAGGGGGGAAGGGGGGTTAAGGGGTGCTATGTACATCGGGCTAGATACAAAACGATGACATAAGTCACCAACAAATCGATGAGTAAACTATGCCTACTCGGACAAGTTTTCGCGGAATTTGTTCATGATACATTGATACGTCTAGATCTCGTTTGTCGAGACTAGTGCTCTTCGTGAACGACAACACAACCAGACACAGGCACGTCCGGTGACCTCTGTTTCTTGGTGCTATTGCCTCTACCATACTCGCACCATCCGTTTTAAGGACACTCATGATGTTAATCTTCGAAACAAGCGTCCTTACGCCGGGTACAGCAGTGTCCTTAAGTCGTTACCCCCCTCTGAAAAACACGATCTCCTCCAAGTGGGTGGAGTGTCCTTCAAGCGGACAGCGTGTCCTCAAAAACTTCGGCACCATGCGTGTGAACAACACGAGTTGTCCTAAACACAGCGACTGGTGTACCTGCTCGTCCTCCTCCTCCGCCTTCTTCAACGCCTCCCGTTGTTTCGCCATGTCCTTCTCCATCTCGGAAGGGTCCTTCTTCCACCGCGCCATCCTAGCCCGCTTGGGCTCCAGCTGATTGGCCTTGGGCATGGGGGGGCGAGGGGTAGCCTGCACGGCGCCGGGTGCCACCTCTTCCGGTTGCAGCACCTTTAGGACAGACAAGGGAGGTTGAGGCGCACTTTGAGCTATGGCAACGACTAGGATTTCGAGAGGCGACTGTGTGCTCTTGGTGTGTGGCTTCCCATGACATATGGCAATCCTATGTAGCATCAATCGATATAGATGCTGTCGGAGAGCTCGACAACGCCTCCGTGTTCTCGTCACACAAACGACGGTTTCTATCTTCCCTGCATTCGTCCATTGGTGCAAAGCGGAATCACACAACCAGAAGAACGAAACTCGGGTGCCGCAGTTCACCGGGACGAAGAAAGACACCATCTTGTGCGCACACGGCCATTCAAGCACAAAAAGCAGGCGCACTAGATAAAATAGCAATAGCAGATCAGACCGCGCCACCACGAAAAAATCGGAAGACGAGTTACGAAATTCAGGCAAAAAAGCAAGAGACAGTTTAAGAACTTGGCCACAAAAACAGGTACTCAGTCGAGAAGCCTACCACTACACTAAAAGCTATACATATATGCGCTGTTGGGGCCCCATAGAGAAATAAGAAACGAGATCCTCGGGCAAAAGATAAAAGGGTCTCAAGTGTTGGTTATGTGCCTTCTGCAATATATGCATACCTGCATGTCCACGAGCGCCTCGATTTCGCGAATGTCGCTCCTGGCGTCCCCCCTCACCACCGCAGACACGCCCGGGATGGTCGTGGGAATAGCCCTGACGAGCTTCTTGCGCTTGTCGGCAACCGCTTTCTCCATCTCTTCTTGGCGGGAGTTTCGTAACGACTCTCTCCAGTCACTGCCAGCGTTCCTGCACAAGAACGACACGCGTGAGGGGATTTCTTGTCGTTAAGGGTCGCGACGTGTTGTCACACCGCGATTGGAGGTTGAGGCCGTGGACGTGGCGGGGAAGCTGCGGTTGACGCCAAGCAGACAGACGTGAACAGTGGTGGGCAAGGTTGAGCGATCCCCTGTTCAACGACATGCCCTGTGTAGCAGCCACAACATCGCGAGGCACCACTGCTGTACCCCGACCAATAGCCGCGAAACGGACAACATGCCCTGAACAGCGGAATCTCGACCATATTCCCTCCTGACTCTAGGGTCGCGAAACCGGGCCCATCACTGGGTGTACCGACTATCGCACACGTCACTTCGAACCGGCATACTCGGAGCAGACACAACACGCCAGCAACCAAAAAAACACTTGAAATCGACAACCATTCCCACTTGCGCGCAGCAGGTGCTTGTCTTCGTCCTAGTTGGATACACACAGCAATTACGCCGCACATGTTTGGTTGCAAAGACAAGCGTCGCCTACACAGCCACAATGAGAACCGTAGAGTTGGAGGCATCAAAGGCCCGTTGTTCACATACTGTTAGCTAATTTATACCGATTCAACGGCAGCCAACAACTCGGGATCACCCTGCACTATTTTCAAGTATTCTAGGCGATCAGCGGACACTTCATACAGTGGCCTGTTCGGTACACCTGCGTGCAAGGCAGGGGCAGCGTGGGTGTTTAAAATAAACTAGTTTTTAAGACAGATAAAAACAAACGTCGAACACGCCCACCGCTGCAGTTTGTTTTAGGTAGCAACCCGTCGAAGGTGCACGCTGTTCCGAGTTTCCCGACGAACGCAAGTGTGGTGTACGGCCGAAGAAAAATAATAACAATCCTACAGGCCGCATGCCCTGACAATGCTGACTAACCTGCGGTCCCTCGTGACAGCCCTGTCCCCGTCGTTATGCCTCCCCCTGCAGATCCAAACAACAACAACGACCGCGGAGCGAGGATTCAACAAGGGTCGGCGACATGACAGCAAACCGGAAGACATTGTCAACGTGGCCGGATGATGTTGGTCTCTCACCTCGCACGACTGGATGCTGCCTTGATCGCCGTGAGCACTGCTAACTGAACAAAATGCGTGGCAAAGCTGTTGCCACCGGCTGGGGTTCGGCGCGGTTTTGTAGCAAAAGTTGCGCGGCTTTTCATTGGCAGCGAGCGTTTCGGTCCGATACAAACGATCGCTGCATGCTCACGTGTTGACAGCATACATATACTGCTGTCAAATCACGAATACCGTCCGAGGGTTGGCGCAAATCCGGTTTTCTGCTGTTTGCTCTCTTCGCATACTGTAGCGTCAACACATCAAGAATGAACTGGAGCTCATGCGACGGGAGCTGCAACGACGTGAGGTATGCGGAGAGTAGCGGAGCATACCCTCCCACTCCAGCAGCAAGCTGATGACAAAGCCCAGCAGCCGGGCCATGCGCTAAATGCCCATGTCAGGGCATCTCGTCAGAATCAGACGTTTGCTGCAATACAGCAGCAACAGCGGCCACACGGACACGCCACAGACGGCAGGCCAATCAAAGGAGACCAAGACCTGGTGCCGTCTTCTATGCATACGTCCATGAGCACACACCACACTGCTGTCTGTACGCGTAGTCTTCAGGGGCCCCCGGACCCAAATCCAAACGTCCTGAAAAGAAAGACCATAAGGTACCGGTTAACAGCCCTGCAAGACTACCCGATTCGATGAGCTGCAACAGATCTGGCTCGTGTGCGCCCCGCAGACAGCACGAGTGAGGGCCCTGCAACGAGGTTCCCTGCTGGTGTTACACAGGCTCTCAAAACAGCCAGTGCACAAGCACGTGAAACGGCTATTTAACTTCCTCGTGCTCTTTGGGGCAACAAACCACAACCGCCCGGATTGGCGTCACGACGAGGATGAGAGCGTACCCCACTTAAAAAAGCCAGACACGGAATGTGGAATCTTGTTTTCTATCAAGGATCGAACATGATGCGGCCTTACAGTAGTAGTTCTGTTGGTCTCTCCCCACTCCCCGCCCAACGCGGTGCAAACCATGTTTTCGTCGTCGTCATTTTTTTTCGGTTTCTCGCTTGCAGTACAACCAAAATGCTTTATATTGACGCGTACATACCTGATTCAATTCACACCGCACTGATCCTAACAAGTCGATCTGTGGGTTTGCACGCTATAATGAAGTTGCTGGGGGCACCCGGATCCGAAACGGCCCCATCGCAGTGGCAGTCAGCACCACAAAATAATTGCAGATCATGAGAGGGGGTTCCGTGGATTGTTGACGTTTGCACTTATCAAAGCATATTTTCACGACTATCGCCGCGTTGTATGCTAGAAACATGATCGAGGACCCCGCATGCAATCGCGTGCCGCCACTCAAGGGACAGTCTATCCTTGTCGACGTGAGATCTTGGCATGTCGCACCGTGGTGGTGGTGGTGGTGGCGGTTGACTGGTTGATTTTTCTCTGTCGCTCGGTTTTTAGGGTGACAACAACAGCCAAGGGAATTTCGCCGCACTTGCAGCTCGTATGCATAGACTACAAATAGATTTTCGCACGACGATTAGGATGCGACTTCACGTGCCTCGAAATGGGGACGTAGAAGACATACTGCCGCCGTCTCTGCGAGACACTAGCTCCTTCGTACTCATCCATGCCTTATCTTCGCGCGCGTGTCTCCGCTCCAGCCAGTGTTGCCAGTTTGTTGCTTTTGAGGTCGGCAAAAGTTCGAGTATTTCGTCTTCGACGCCAACTTTTACAGCAGGTGGATCCCACGCGGAGGCATCGACAACATGACGCCGTGGCGCCGTGGCACCGACGACACCCCACCCTTGCAGGGACAACCAGAAGGTGGTACTACCCGAGGCTTGAGCCGTCCGTTTTGTCTCGCGCGCACCCCGTGTAGCCTAGGGCACCTCGCTGAACCCTCACCCGAAACGAGTCTTGGTGGCCAACATCCGTCATACACAACATGTGTTCACTCTACTGCTTGCTCCTTCCTGCTGTGGGCGCGATAACCACAGCCTCTCCAAAACCACAGCCACCGATACGGTCAAGGTCATCCCACCATCCTCCTTGGCAACAGCCCTGCGTGCGTTATCTTCGCGCAGGTTGAGAGGCGTCCAGTGGGGGGACCTGCATAGAGCCGGGATGCTCCCAACCTAACCGCTGTTGCGGATGCTGTTCGGGTTTTGGAGTTTGGACCCGTGTTGGAGAATGACACAATCCGGTTCCTTTCCTCTCGCCGTTTCCGGAGGAACCAAATAGCAAGGAACTGGCAGCTAGACAAGGTACTCAGAGCTCACCTCTTCCTAGTCACCGGTGGGCTGTCCGCCATGCTGCCGCTGTGCTTGGGCCCTCGAGAGCTGCACCTTGTTTCTCTGCTCCGTGTGTACTGCTGTTGCGCTGTACACCGCGCGCAAAAAAACGAAACGCTGGCTGTTGAGATTTCGTGTCAAGAGTCTTTGGGTCGTTCGCAGTCGATGATGGGAGTTCTGAGCTACCCCGCCCTCTCTACTCGATTCTGCGGCTTTCATACCTTGCAGCAGTCCGTGGCAGGTCGTAGCGATCGACAGGCGTTGTTCTTGATACCCAATGCCTGCCGTCCTCTATTATCCTGTCTCGTGCGCCTGTCAGTCAGGGGATACATCCAGCAGGGATAGCAGAGGCCAGTTACCAGTTACCCCACAAGGAGGGGAGAGGGGATCGCGCATTTTGGTTCTAGGAGGGGAGCGGGGATGCACTATTTTTTTTCGGCTCAACTTGGCTCGACTGCTGCCATGTACAGCAGCAGCAGTAGTACTGCTGAACGCGAGCGGCCATGTGGACTCTCAAGAACACCGCGCACCCCGCCTGTGCACAAGCCTGCGATACACGAGCCTGGCGGTCATGAGTGACGCACGATCGATGAGTTGTTGTTGGACAGTCGGCCACCAACTACCGCTGTGCTTCCCGACGCGCATGCTAGTCCACAAAAAAATATGGAAGTGCGACCGAAAGGACTACCGAAAGGACGGATGCATTTTGGCAAAAAACGATGGTTGTTCGTCGCGCGGGTACCTCTCTTGCTCTCCTGCGTGTCCGTCCTATTTATAATTAGTACGTCTTGCGTATCCTGCTGGTATCCGTACATTCTCGGCCACACATGCATCTTCTGTTCGAGCAAGCAAGGTGGAAATTGCAAGGTTTGTTTGCTCTTCTTCCGCTCACCACCCGCCGCCCCCCCTTCCTCGAATCGATACGTGTTTTTTTTTTACACCAGCCATCGGTTGCCGGAGGCATACGTTGTAGACTACTACTGTAGATTTTGTACATGGATGGCAACCATTCACTACGGGCGGTGTCTGTCCGATAGATATACATTGTGTCATCAGTCCATGTATGTACACATCCAAAGAGTGTGTAGAGGCAAAAATAGCGAATCTTTGTCCGTACCTCGTGCTGTCAGTACTGCTGTGCTGGGTCGTTACTGCTGTAGAATAAGCGGTTATTGTTGTGCTTGTCGAGTGCACGTCAAGCAAGGAAGCAACCCTTTTGTTACAGTGGTAAGAGGGAGAACGCACGGTGGATGAACCGCGGGGGCGAAAGTAAAATAATAACGACGAGTGAATTTTCGAAGCACATTCGTTCAGCGAAGAAGCTTTCGTCATCCATGCTGGATAGACTACATAAGCTGTAGATGCTGCTGGCTGTATGCATAGGATGTACATAGTTTTCAGCTAAAGCGCTACTTACACTAGGTTTCTTTTAGCGAGTATCCTTGCACATGTCGCCGCCATGAGTAGATTACGTGAGGATGCTTGTACTACAACATGACAAAAACATTCCAAAAGTGCAGTAAGTGATGAAATAGCAGCGATACAACCAACACTCACTCTGCACGTTTGTTTATCTCTGCTAGTTGGTATTAGTGTAACCACGTGACACGTTCCCCGCAGAAAAAATAACCCATTCATTCGTCCAACACCAAGCCGCATGGACAGAGACAGGCAGGAAAACACAAAACACAAAGACAAGAAACAAAACCGCTGAAACAACACCCCCTTTCCTGAGAAATCAACCAACCGACAACTAGTCCGATGCTTGAGCAAGGTGACTAGTGCAACAAATGGAAAAACAACGGAGGCCTCACAAACTGCGCAAGCAACGTACTACCAATGTACTCCGTATCAAACAACAGAAAACGAAACAAACAAAATCTGAACCCTACGTATGTATGTAGTCTACATGGGGGGGACATGACACGCTACAAGCCCTCGCCAGGTCATGGGGCTTGTCATTGGTTGGAGTGCGAAGGTTTCCTCGGCACTTCCTACCAGCTCAAGAGATCACAAAACACAAGGAAGGCCGAACAAACCGAAGCAAGCCTGTGTCGCCCAAAAACACCACTGGAGCACCGCAAAACGTCACTCTTCATCTCTCTGCCAATCTTGACACCAACACAAAATAACGCCTGGAAAGCTCGATTTCCGAGCACAGAGACTTGCGCAAAAAAAAAACCGAGAGAAAATGCTTTTGTACACGCGGGTGGACACACATCCACCAGCTAGCAGCTGGCGCGCGGCGGCCCCACCAGCCCGCGTGCAAGCACACACGCCGCCAGCCTCCCCTAAATCTACTGCTGCAACTAGTGTAGCATCCTTTGAGTCAGTCTACATGACGGACTCGGCCCGCTTGTCCTCCTGATGTTTGGCAGACAGGTCGACAACGAATTTCGACCCATTCCAGCCAAAAGGTGTCAAAACAAGAAGGCGCGGCGAACGGCATTGAAACGAGGGTTAAACGAGGAAACCATGAGACGAGAATCAAGACAAATAAATGTTCCTCCAGCAAAGGAGATAAGAGGGGAACCAGGGTCAACAAAGAAGGCTCGCTGTGAGGTCGCGGCGAGAGGAGCAAGGGGAAAGCAAGCAATCTTAAACAAGTCCACAAGGCATCGAGCCAAGGAAGAGGGGGCAATGGGGGAGGGTATCACGTAATTGTCTCCATACTATTTGTCTCCATACCAAGTGACAGGCCGCGTGTGGCCACAGTATCAACGGCTAGGCCACACGGCGCTGAGCAAGTCGATGCACAGACACTCCATGGGCAAGACACTTTTGACTGGAACACATGGGTAAGTATGCCATAAAAGCACTGAGCATAAAAACGTACTCCATTTATTTCGTCGGCGTACCACCAATGTTTTCCTTCTTTTCCGATCACTCAAACACATCCGAGCTGCGGCAGAGACTTCGTGGAACAATCGTGCATTTCAAACCCGGTCTACAGAGCCAAAAGAGGGTGGCGATCGAGAGAGGGGGAGGTCTCGTCACATTGCAACACCGACCAACCAAATCCCGTTGGCAGCTTTCGAATATTGCGACGGCAGTGCTGTTGTCGAGAGATGGAGTCGTCCACTCACCAGTGTCTGTATCTTGCCCGTCGCGAGGAACTCGTTGATCTTCTGGATCGTTTTGGCACCGATACCTGGGACCTCCCCCTTCTGCGCTCAACGGAATACATGAAGGTACACGTTTTGGATGCGGAGCAGGGGAAACGCCACGGGGCGAGGGCAAAAACAATTTTTACCCCGAATGTCGTATTAAGACAGTTGTCGAGAAGACAGGTTGTCGGAGGTGGAGCTTTTCTAACGTCAGAATACAACGACAAATACAGGGGTCGACGCACTTGGTGTATAGATTCATGCCTATGTTCTCCAACCTTCTGCTTGAAAACACACAGAGACAAGAACCGCTTGATATGGCGCTACGCTTGATTAGGCATCCAAGGAGCAGCATGACAGTTAGTCTTTCGAGGATCTCACCAAGCATCGAAAAACGAAACAAAACAAAGGCGACAATCAGGGATGCTGTACAAACTCAGCAACATGTTTTTCTCAAATGGCGAACACCCACTTCCGAAGTGGGAGATGCGTATGACATATTTTTTCGTGTGCGCGAGGAAGAAACGTGAAGCGAACCAAGCCTCTTGTGACCATGCGGATAGCTATACTTGCCTTGGGAGCGGTCGTCAGCGGCTTGGGCATGTCCTTGATGGCGGAAACCACCTGGCCATTCCGAGAGGGGGAAGAGAGCGAGGCAGGGGGGGAATAGGCGGGGGGGGCGGGGGGGGGGGGGGGGGGCCCTTTTGTTTTGGATGCCTTAACGGGTAGGCCCCCCCCCCCCTGAAAGGGCGGGGCATTTTTCCCCAAAGAACCAACCCCCAGGGGCAAACCTTTCCTCCAAATTTGGCCAAGGGGGGCCCATTTTTTTTTTCCCAACCCATTTATCCCAACCAAAACCCCAGGGGGGGGGGGGGGGTTTTGACGGGGAAAAACAGAAAACCCAAGCCAAAACAAAAAAAACCCGGGGTTTTTCAACG